ATCCACATGTTCCTGCCACCTGTGTTGACAGTTTGGGAGAGGACACTAAGTGATTGTGGGGTCCCAGTTCTCTGGGAGGCTGGAGAGAACACCCCTCTGCTTTCTTAGATGAGAGGCATTCATAAAGCATACTTCCCTGGATCCCAGTTCAGTAGAGGGACAAACTATTCTTAAAGATAAGTTTATTACTCAGTCAGTCCCAGATAGTAGAAAAAAGCTACAAAAATGGCTTTTGCCCCAGATAGCTCACTTGAGATGTTAGTAAGAATTGCCTCCTCAGTATTTTATAGCCATGACAAGGAGGAGGCCAAGGAGAGAAAACAAAGAGACAGAGAAAAAACAGCTGCCTTTATTGCAGCACTAAGAGAAACAGACCCTAAGTCTGATTCTTGGGGCACCAAGAAGAACTTGTTGACTACATTCATCTGCTACCACTGTCAAACGCCAGGCCACCTCAAGAGGGACTGCCCTAAGAAGCCCTCTGGGCCGTGCCCTGACTGTAAAGGTGACCACTAGAGGTCAGACTGCCCTCTGAAGCAAAGGCTCCAGAACTCAAACCCCTCCTACCAGCTGATCCAACAGGATTGAAGGGCTCCAGGGCATACTCTGCCTTCTCCGTCTGGCCAGACCGTTATCTCCAAGGAGGAGCCCCATGTAATCATGACTATAGAGGAAAAAGTAAACAGCCTATTGCTGGACTCTGTTGCTAGACTCTCAGTCCTTCTTTTCAGTCCTGGCCTTCCTTCCAGTCATCACACCTCAGTGAAAGGAGTTACTGATGAGGAGGTAATCTGCTATTTTTCACAACCCTTAGGCTGTAACTACTTGTTAGGTCTTTCTTGCATATCTTTGTTTTCCTGATAAACCACTTTGAAGATACCAACATGTATTACAGTGGCCATTGATAATTTCCTACCAATCTGTCCATAACTCTGTGCTGTTTGTATTGTTCCTATGCTATTTCATAAATGGATGTATGTTTATTACTATGTGTTTCCAACAACAACCATTGAGAATAGTCAACGATTATTTAATTGATCACTCATGTATAGCTCTATTTGTTTTCTCTAGAAACCACTTTGAAGAAACCAAAGTAGAGTACAACAACCATTGATAATTTCCTACCATTTCTGTCTGTAACTCACTATTACTTGTCTATTTGTTTTCCTGAGAAGCTATCTTGAAGATACCAATAGGTAAAATAACAACCATTGATAATATCCTACCACTTTGTCTGTAATTCGATTAATCCCCCATTACTATGTTATCCTTCTTTTACTCTTTAAAATTAAAAAAAAAATTATAAAGAGCCAAAAGTTTCTCCTTGACTATGAGAGGACTGACCACTGTACTTTCACCTTCCTGGTCCCAAGAAGTGACAAACAGGCCTCATAAGTTTATACACTGCATTGGTTTAAAGGATCACATTCACAAGGTAACTGTGGCTCTGTGCTCCACTCTGAGTCTTGTCCAGATCTCACCCATCAAATCCATGCCTCTGTACCCAGTGAATGGGTACAGTGCCCTTCATGGGAAATATTTTTCTGTCTTCTCAGGTGAATAGCTATGCAAACACCCTTGAAGAGATAGGAAAACATCTGTCATGGAACCTGCAAATATGGGAGACCCACAGAGAATGGTCTCCTACCATTAAGTATCCTTTATATGTAACAGACACAGTGAACCTCGGAAATAGTGATGAATAAGACATTTTCTTGATTCTTGAGCCCACATTAAATTATACTACTTGGAAAAGAATTTGAACAATTTTAGTAAGCCTAGATCTCAATCACTGGGGAGAATTTTTGCTGGTTTTCCATAAAATATTTATAATATTTAGATAGTAAATATATAAAATAACATGTAAGTAGTTTGATGTGGCATAGTGATCTACACTGACAATATTAGGTATGAAATATTTGGCTTGTATGCACACTTATCAGTATCTGTTTTCTAATGCCATTGGCTTTTAATCTCTCAAAGCTGGATTATAGCGGAATGATTTCTTCTGTAGTCAGAAGCCAAATAATTGTATATCTGATCTAATGCTCAGCTGTGAACACAGTTACAAATACATTCAAGTTCATTTTGAAGATATAAGAAAATGTAATAGTAGTCCTCTAGTACCAGAATGTTTTCAGAGCTAAAAGATATCCAAAGGAAAGTTTTCTTAGAAATAACTAAAATTTCCATAAATGTGCAGTGGTGAGTATGACATGTGAATATACATTCTAAAAACAGTTTTATGTTTATAACTTTTGGCCAGTTCCTCCTAATACTTTGAAATTATATTTCCCTTAATGTACCAGGTAGTACCAAATATACTTATATATAAGTTTCTATTCATATAAATCAGTCTTGATGGTGACTGATTATTTTGTTTGTCACTATGTAATTACTGAAAGCATCTTTTAGTACTTTCCATTTAATCTCATTTTTTTGTGATCAATGAATTACTCTGGAATCCTATAGAAATTTGTGACCTTACATTCAAATAATAAAAACTATTTTTAAAGTGTTCTGTGCATTTAAATATCACTTAAATAAAACATGTTTTCCAGAATATATGTTAGCTTTTCAAGTATGAACAATTCTTTCACATCTGTATGACAGACAAAGAAGTCACTGTTCTGTGGGGACCTCATGCTGCTACAGAGAGAAAACAGCTGGATTTTCAAGGATTAGAGAAAAAGAGATGGTTTGGCAGGTGTTTGAGGAAACAACATAATTGTCCATATGAAAATCAGGGTAAAAGCCAGGCTCCTTGCCTGATGACACTGGTTCTTGGCTTCAGGCAGTAGTCAGGTGACCCATTGCTTTTTGTGATATGGTCTTCCGTCTCCTCAGAGCTTCTGTTCACTTTAGACCTTTGTATCAGAACCAGAACACTAATCTGATTATAGCTGATGTGCAGTGGCCTTTTCCTCCCTAGAGGATCCAGGTTTTCATTTATTTGTCATTCGAAAAATTTAGAATTGTGTCCTGAATCCTGTTTGCAATTTTGCATCAAATAGCAATTCTTTTTTTTTTTTTTAACACATCCCTCGTCAAATATATTTATCACCCATCATAAGCCAAACAAAGTGTGTTATTGTATAAGTCAGTGGGAGTTTGCTGGATTCCTGGCCTGATTTAACAAGTAGTTACCATAACAGCTTAAATATATCTCACATAAAATAGAATATCTTTGAAATTACCTTTCCCATATGCATCAAAGCAAGTGCCCTTCATGTCAACTTTCTTTAAAAATCGGACATAGTGTCATGCTTCTTTAGGCCCCTGCCCCTGAGCTACAGCCACTGTTCCTACATCTCCAAACTTCGTATTTCTCTGTAACGGTGAGAAGGAGGAACGCTAATGGCTCTCATGGGAGAGCTGCCTCTCTTTCTTTCTTTTCAATAATGCTCTATTTAGAAATACTAACATGCTAGGTTTCTTAAATGACAACAGTGTCTACTGTGTACAACATGGTTTGAAATACATTTTGGAATGAATAAATCAAGCTTGTCATATACAGTATATCAACTCTTTCATATTTTGAGGTAAGAAGGCTTAGATTTACTCTTGGCAAAGAATTATACAACATGTCTTTCCAAGTCATTCTTCCTATCTGATAGGTAGCGATCTTTAAAGCGAGTGTGTATCCTTAAACCAGATATATCTGTAATATAGATGTAATAAAGTCTACTTTGAAAGAATCTGACCAAATATTTAACAAATTTTAAAGGTACCTTATTAGCATGATGTCCAAATAACACTAACTTGATGAGATTTCCTAAGACTTAAGTGCCATTGGTAAATGTCTATCATTGCACTACTTGTGAATAATTACAATGTCTTAGTTATATCTTTCCCCAGTTTTTAAAAAAGCAGCCAATCAATTGAGATTATACACATATATTGATGGAAACTTTGCATCTCCTCAAAATATGATTCACACTAGTTTTAACTTAAAAATATATTTATCTACTTTATAATCCTTTTTAGAAAAATGAATTTATCACTTCTCTGGTCATCTTGTTCTTATAAAGATCAAAAAGGCCTACAAAACCACAGTTCATTCTAAGCTATATTACATAATCCAAATAAACAAAAATCACATATTCATGCTTTTTTTTTTTCCTTTTTCAGTACTGGACATTGAACTCGGGGTCTTCACTATAAGCTGTGTCCCAAGCCTTTTAAAAATTGTTTTTAAACTCACTAAGTTACCACTGAATTGGCCAAACTGGGTTTAACTTGCAATCTTCCTGCCTCAGCCTCCCCTAGTGCTGGGATTATAGGCATATGCTACTTTGCTCAGGTCAGATAACTGAATATTAAATATATAGTATTATTATAATTAGTTTATTTTTATTGTGCAAGAAAAGAATGAATTTGGAAATTCTATGAAACAAAGATGTTTCATGTGGAAAGGAGATTTAAAATAAAAAATTCAAACTGTAAGAAGTATAAATTTATTATTTTTTCCTTCAAACAGTTGAAATAGAGAACATTTATTGCTGTAAAATTGTTTTCCATTCATACAGAAAATTTCTGAAATTTTGCAGAAAAAATGAGTAAAGGCTAACCTGTATATACTACTTAAAGAAAATCTGATACTAGTATGAATTTTCAATAATAATGTTTGGTAGAAAACTATTGTACTTGCAAGTGAAGGGCTAAAGGATGATCTCCCTTGACTATACGCAGGGTTGGCTCAGAGACATAGTTATAAGCACGTGGTTCAAAACATGGAACAGTCTGTACCTCACTTTTTAGAACACTCAACATTCAAGTTTTCACTTCATCCAAAGCCTGAGTATGAAAGTCCTCTCCCGCCCTTTCAGGGTTTGCGTTGAACAGATGAAGATCCTCTTCTGCTGGAAAGTAACAGATTTCCTGCAAATGAAAATTTTGTTATACTTTGTCTACAGTGGTAATGGGTAAGACAAGTTAAAGGAAACTCTAACAGTTACCCAGACTAAATTTTGTACATTTGAATGTTGTTACTTTTACAGGCTGCCGTAGAGAGAGAATGGCTAGCTTTGGATTCCACCCGCTTCCCTTCACAAACACTGCTACTCTCCAACCAGCTGCACCGGCCAAAGGTAACATGTCATGGAAACTTCTGAGCACTCCATCTTTGCTCATTTCTTAGGGTTATGCTACGCTGCAGTGATTAATAATACAATTTATTGACTTGAAAAACATAATTACTTTTAGAAGCTTTTGACTTCCTCCTCGTTCCCAGATGTAATTTTTCATGTAGTTTTTCTTTCATTTGCTCCTAATTTTTTTTCTTTATTTTGGATTTCTTTCAACACTTTATTTCACAGTAGCAAAAAAAAAAAAAAAAAGGAAAGAAAGAAAATGATATGTTTCAGCTGCATATTTGGCAGTGGCCTAAAATCACTAGTTGACAGCACTTTTAAAATACAAAAATATGCAATAAGAGGGCAGCAGCTGAAGATTCTCAGTCAGAGGTCAATGGGCTGCAATATCTGTTATTTATTTGATAATCTTTGAAGTTTTTGCTTTCTGAGATTTTTAAGATCTTTGCAGTTAATCATTTTTGTATATAGTGTATGTGAGCTATTCCAAAGAGCATATTCTCCTCCACTGCAATGAAGCACATGTGTTTATTCCAGAAATTTTAATTAATTACAATTTTTAATTTTATAATTAGTCCCTTATGAGGCTGCTTAGCAATATTCACATAAAAATATAAATGCTAGACTATTCTAACTTACTTTATACAAATTTACATGTTTTTGGCAAAGATCCCTGGAACCTTGACATATGATGATACTTCACTTAACATACCAAGCCATCCAGCTCAAGCATGGCTATGTAATGAGAAAGAAAATTTGTTTTCATCAGAACACACACAATTAAGTAGCAGGTAAGCCAAAGGACTTTTCTTAGGAGATCAGCCTATGTATGACAAAAACATGATATTCCTCCCCAAAATAGTGCAATTAAGGAAAATCGATATGAATTTACTTGGTTAGAAGATGCAACATTTAATGTTTAAAAGTCATGACTCCGAGATTTTATTGTAAGAAAAGTACGTGAGGTGTGTCAAAGCAACTACAAAACTTATGTGTTGGTGAAATAATGTAATTAATTGCTGTAAGCAAGTGGATATTTAGTACTTTATAGGTAGAGATAAGGACTGGAACAGAATTCCCAGTGTTGCATTACTTTTGCAAAAGAATTGAAATATGCTTCAAGTAATTGAAATGTAAACATTTTAAATTAATGACAGACTTTTATTACTTTTCAAGATAAAGCTTTCCTGTAACTTAAATGGATTTTATTTCCAAGTTTGCAGCAACATAAGCAGCGTTTAGCTTTAAACACTGCTGATACATGTTTGTTGATTCAGTTAAAAGTCATTTATTTCCATTGCCAGATCAGAAAATAGAACATTGCCCTGGACACCTGAATCAAAGACCAGTAGGAAGAGTTTACTAAAATCTGAAAAAGAAGAAAAAATTTCAGAAGAATGGTATGTGATCTATTTTTCCCTGAAAGACTAAGAAATTAAAAGACTTGTAAATGTCCGAGGCATATATTTTATAGGATTTAAGAATGCTTTTCTTTTAATTTATGAGAAACTAAACATCTGGTTAAATTACAAGTTTCATGATTTGAATAAAATTAATTTTGATGTGATATAATTAGCATAGGTATATTTATATATATGTATGCATAACTAAATATGGTCTGTATTTTTTTGCCTTTATTAAATTTATCTTTTAATAGGGGTTTTAAGGATATTTCTACTGCTCAGCAAATGCTGAAGAGGGCACATAAAATGAAATCAAAGAAATTAAAGAAAAACTTAGGTGAGTAATTAAGGGTCTTTGACTAATAAGTTTTTTTCATATTAAAAATAAATTCTTTTAAAGTATTTTTTCAAATTATATTTAATAAGAACAGAAATGAGGCAACAGATGAATGTCTAAGATAATGATTGAAAAAGTAAATGAGAAAATGATGCTATTACATGGAATGATTTATTACACTCTTAAATATTCTTTTTGTTATTTTCCCTCCTTTTTTTGTACATTTGCTATTGATTATTTTAATAATTTCTGAAGCTCCCAGTGTAAGATCATTGTCTATTATACACTGAGAATTATCATTTAATTTCTTTCTAAATTGGTTCCTTTTGGAGAATGTTGATTCTAACAAGGACCTGCTTCATGTGCTTGCTTATTCCTTTGCATGTTTTAAATCATTTATTTATTCAATAAACTTTATACATTTATCAGTTTCAGTGATTTTAGTGAAGAATATTTCACAATATTGACATCTTGGAAAATAACCACAATTCATGTATTTTATGATTTTGAAAAATTTGGGAAACATTTAGAGGTTTTTTCTTCTATCTTCATTGCTGAACTACTCTCTGATTCATTTGTCTTTCTTTGGAGAATGAATTATTTTAGTATAGTTCCTTAATATGTGGAAGAGTTCATGAATCTGTGGCCAAGCAATAGCAAGTTATTATTCTACATCTTTTTACCTAAGACTATTTAAAATTGTTTGCATATTGCATATCACTTTCCTCTTCTCAGTTTTATAAAGTGATAAACTCATGGGTTCAATAAAAGTCATAGGACTTTTTCAAAAGCTGTGCTTTTTTTCAGCACAAAATAAAGGTAGATTTGCACTGGAATTCTATTTCCTATAAATATACAAATAATCGTCAAAAATTATTTTTATCCTTAATGATTTTTCTATTTATTATTTAATTAGTAATTCAGTAGAATTCCATTCTACTGAAACTGTTTTATGCCAATTTGATGTTAAAAATAGAAATAAAAGTAACCAAAACACTTTGATTTCCAAGGAATAACTGGTATCTAGTAGTACATCACTGAGTAGCCACTGATAAATTACTAGTGAGCTATTTTTATTTCCAAAACTGTACAAGTTTCTTTTCTTATGACTAGTGATACCTTAGTTTATACTTTCTCTTTGTGAGTAATTAATAATTTTTGTTGTTTACTAAGAATTTCTTAAATTTAAAATATTGAAGTATTAGCCATTATTAAAGAAACTATAAATAGATACTATGCTTTTAAATTTATCTTTGCCTCCTGCAGTCTTCTTTTGTAAACTACTATTACATCGCTCAGGGTTTTAGGGAACTAAATGTTCTGTGCTGGTTCTCACAGTGAAATGTTACTCCATAGCCTCATAGTATAGAAACTGTCAATTGTGAGGATGTAAAATTTAGAACAGTAAGTCTGGTAACTCCTTCATTGCTTCAGTGTATGCTTCAACTCATCTTCTGGAGTATCAAGACACAAACTTTGTTTTGGAAAATGACAAAAATTTCTGAAGCTCCCCGTGTAAGATCATTGTCAAAATATCAACATAAGAACTGATTCAGCCAATGTTAACTTATAATTGTGTCCAGCTTATAGTCAACTTTTTTCTCTATCAATCACTTTAGAAAATATTTTATCATCCTTACAGTGGCCTCCTGTGATTAAAGATGAAGAAAAGTTTATCTTTTCAAACTTGCCATATGATATTGACCCTGGAAATACATAGGTCTTAATAACAATAATGACCTTGCTTGAGTATGTTTTTGATAAATCTATATAGTAAATATGTTTTAGCAAATGATTCCATAAGCAATATATGCTTACATATAAATAATCATAGCTTCAATGACCACATGAGATAGAAATAGAAATAAAGTAAGCTTTTTTTTTTTTATCAGTCACAATGGGGCATATCAGAGTAACAAATAAAAAAGAACAACCAGCAGTCCCACTTAACAATCACATGTATAATTTAAAATTTTTGTCAGTGGTCATTAAGCATGCCCTGTTAGATAAAAATTCTAAATGGTCATTGAATAATTTTTGTGGGGATTACTCTACTTATACAAGTGTAATCCAAATTACGTTATTATTACTGCATGATTTTGAATTTCTATGTTACATTGTTGTTTTACTTTAGTTTCACTGTCTGGTTTCTCTTCAGATCAAATAAATCCTTCCCCTTTTTACTTTAGTTTCATCAAAATAACATTTGATTAATGAACAAAGCCACTTTTCCTTCATTTGTGAATACCTGTCTAAAATTTAATCACCTTTATACTCTCCTTAATCTTTTCCTTTACTCTTCCTATACAATGATATACAAATCAGAGATTTTAAAGGAGAATTAAGGTGAAAAAGATGAAAAAAAAATCAAAGGAATCCTTTCCAGTTATCACATCACATTTATTTGGTAGGTCAGTGGTATAGCACTTACATTATTTTTATCTGTGAGTAAATCATTTAAGATTCTGTGCATGGAGTTTTCTTCTTAGAGAATAAAACATGTTCCCCTGCCTTTTTCTCACTTCTACAGTTCATTCAGCTTGTACTATTCCATTACCTTACCTGAATAAGACATTAGCCATTGTTTTACAGTTTTATTCATTAATTTAATAAACGTAAATTTTAAATATTTAAATTGTGCTCAAAATAAATGTTTACTAATGAGTTGAAATCACTAGTAAACTAGTGAAATGTTCTGTGATATGTACATTTATACATGGCCAAATTGCCAAGCTGAAATTTTCTGGCCACCAGAGGACACTATTGTCCATAAAACTACTGACAGCAGCCCGTTGTGCCGGGGTCAGCAGGGGAGTGGGAGGAGGGATGTCAGGAACAGGAACTTAATTAAAGAGAACACACTGTATCTTACATTCTGACAAAGCAGCAGCATTCAAATGCCTGGTGTATTCATTCACATTCAGATTTCTGCCAAGAAAAACCATAGAACAACTTACACAGTATCAAGCATTTAATAATGTTTCTTGTATCTTTTATGTATTTTTATTAACCCAGGATTATGAGTAAACAAGATTTTGTATGATATTGTAATGAAAATAAGACAAGAGACAGATGTTCAATTAATTTAAGAAAAAAGACAGTAATGGAACCAGTTGCAGAGAGAGAGGAAGAATACTGCGGAAGGAGTTGATTCATAAAGCGAGGAGCTGAAGAAGCACGCTCAGCTCTTAGGGGAGACTCCCTTGATGACATCTGGTGGTTGAAGCTGCATTACAGAGCAGAAGGAGGAGTAGGGAAGGAAGAGTAGGAATTATTGGATGCCACAGGATCGAGTCTGGAATTGTTAGGTGTTATCACGAGTTACTCAGTTTATGTTTGGATTATGGTTGTTGTTTTTTTCAGTAAGCAAGTAATTGCTTTTTCCCTCATGATTGACATAAGCTTGAACCAATAATGACTGGTCTTGTTTGTGTGGGTTGTTTGTTTGTTTGTTTTTACTGTTCCCTCATGTATGACAGTAATTTAAGAGTTTAGGTAAGTGCACTTGGAATTTAGCTGAAATGAAGGAAAGTCTAGAATTCAGTACCTCAGTGAAGAATATGTGTAAAGTGAGAAGTTGCAGGTTTATTGAAAACATGCAAGGTCAATCACCTAAGGGTAGTGACCACTCTTGGTAGCGAAACTAAGATGAGCTGCGAGGGGGAAAGGAGTGAGTGGTTGGTTTTGCTATGGAGCAGTTCTCAGACAGGATGAGGTGTGAGTGGAGGAATTTTGGTGTAGAGGGGCTGGTAAAAAGTTTAGTGACTAAGGACAAATGGTGTCAATGTGCCTTTCCAACATTTCTCATACTTATACATAGAAAATTTAAAACCTCATAAATAGAGAAATAAAAGAGCATCGGATAGATGTTCCATAAATAACTGTTAACTGATTGAAAAACAAATTAGATAAATATTACTAATATAAATTTGACAGTGTATATGTATATGACTGTGTTTTAGTTTCTTGATTTTGTTTGTGTTGAATGTAAATTAGTTAATAGTATGCCTTAAAAATCATAACTGATCATTCAGAAAGTGGATAATAACACCAAATGTTTATATAAAATACTGAAAATAAAATTAGGATTTTAGAAACTGAAAAGGGATCAGAAGCATGGCCAAATATTGCTTATCATACAAATTATGTCACTTAAATGATATAATGGATACAAAGTATCAAATACAGCTGAAGTATGTAATAGGAACTTGGTTTACTCACCTAGGGAGTTCTTGAAATATTTTTAAAGATATATTTAAGAGCTGTTCCTGACAGTGTGCAAGCTGTGCTGAAAAAATTAAGAATTTTTCAAAAATGAAAAAAGACTCAGTGGACCTCTTTTGATGGTCACAGAGAGTAAATTCAGTGTTCAAAGCTGACTTTCCAATGCATAAAAAATGTGTCGTAAGCTGTGCTCTACAACATCCTTATCTCCTGGCTTTCTTGATAGATTTTTTTTGAGTGCAAGAATAGTGTTTTATTCACAGTGTTATTTCTAAGAACTAGCAAAATCAATTGAGTGTTCCCCCATCTTAAATTACTGTTTTTTGCTTCTTATCATTATCCCTTTGCTATTTGAACTAAGTTTTAAATCGATTTAAGATGATGCAATCAGAATGTTTTGTGATAAAAGGATATTTATAGTGTAGTGCTCTTTATATCCACCTGGGAAATAAAATTATTTTATTGAGTAAATTGAGCTAGACAAGTCTTGTAAATATTTTATATGTATTAAATTATTTGATCTTGATAACAGTATGAGGAAAGTGCTATTTTTATCCCTGTTTTACATGTTAAGACTTCAAGTTATTGAGAGATGATTATTTGTCCAAGGAGATGCCAAAGAATTTATAACCATCATTTATTTCAGTATGGTATACTGACTAAAAGCAAGGCAGTTATGGATCCATCTATTTCTTATGTATCTCACCTAATCTTACAGAAATATCTAAGGTATGGGGCTGGGGATTTAGCTCAGCGGCAAAAGCGCCTGCCTGGCAAGCGCAAGGTCGTGAGGTCGATTTCTGGTACCGGAAGAAAAGACAAAAAAAAAAAAAAAAAAAAAAAAAAAAAAAAAAAAGAGTTTAAAAGAAATATATAAGGTATTATCCAAGAATCTAATAAGTTGGGAGTATATATTGTTCCTTATGTAATCATATGTCTGTTAGAAGCTCTTTGTCAAGTACCAACACTTATATGGGCAAGAGATTTGATCCTTCACACATTTCATTAATTCCCACAGTAATACTTCAAAGCCAGTATAATTTCTAATGCACAGAGGAGGAAGCAGAGGAGGAGAGTACTTTGTTCAAACTCATACATGATAAAAAGGGAAGAAGACTCTAACCAGCTTCTGTTCAGTTGTACTATCATTACTAAGAAAATGCACAGCTATAATAGAACAGCGAGAGTAAAAGAGTAGCAGGATGGTTATAAGGTGTCACAGCAGCTTGTAAGGTAGTGCAGTTTGTTATCACATAGAAATTTGTCTTTGCTGATTGACTAATACTTCTTTTGAATATATCAATATTTCCAGTAAATGATTTAGATGATATGTAATACTTATTTTATGAAATATATACCGTTTTATTATCCTTATTGATAGCTCATATTGAATTAATATAGAAACATCTAACTATTGTAACATCTTAAACTATATATACATATGAATGCATCCAAACATTGACTGGTATTTTCCCTAGTCTTGGGAAATATAATAGCTGTAAAACATGTAAATCATATTTAGGAAGGATAAATTATTACTAATGACTAATGAAAATTATTAGTTTACTCATTCTGGAGAATAACTGCAAATACTATTCATTTTAGTTCACTATGTTCTTAAAAAAATACAGTACAATAGCATTCAATTAAAATATATAGTTGGTATTTGTAATTTAATATCTTCCTTTTCCATTTAGCATACTCAATTGTATGACACTAGATCTTCACCAAAGATTCTTAAATTCTCTGACTTTTTGCCAGATGACATAAGATGCTAAGAAAATCTATACTACTCTGAATTACGCTTTTATGTTATCCTGATAATGCATAGCTTCCCATTCTTTATTTCACCCCTGCTACTTAAATCACTACCTTCTTTTCTTTCAGTTCTTAACCAAAAACTTAATGGAGCAATACCAGGCCCAATTTTCACATCCCATGGAACAATTCATTACCAATAGAAATTATTGTGCCCCCCTTTTTTTTGTCTTTTGGAGACAAGGTCTCACTGTGCAGTTCAGGCTGGCTTTGAACTCACTTGTGTAGCCTAGACTGGCCTCAAACTCACAACGACCCTCCTGCCTCAACCTCTCAAGTGCTGGGATTACAGGCATGCACCACCACACCTGGCAATAGTACCCTTTATTTATAGTCATCTTATTTATTTTGTCAAATTAATAGTTAGATATTCCTGGCTTTAAAAATTATAGACGATGTATTCATCTTTGTCATGTAAATATGATACATTTGGGCAGAAGAAAAAGTATTTTATGTGATGAATGAAAATAATCTCTTTTTATTTGTCTCTTATCCCACTAGCTTTCTTGTTTCAATCTCCTACATTTTCATACACTATAGTTTAGCAAACAAAAAGTAGTTATATGGTTTCTCATGTAATACATTTCACCTACCTATACACTTATTAGAATTTTGCATATTCCATAAAATTACCAGGAATTTAAGACGGGAGCTAAGATAATAAATAGTAAAATATTGTCACAAATGAAGGTCATAACCAGAAAGTTTACATATAAATTTTAAACATTATTAATATGTCTTTATACTAAGTACTGGCTAGATGTTTAATCTTATAAACACAAATATATGCATGACTGATTATCTTTTGATATTATAAAGTTTGAAATAACACCATCAATTTCATAAAGCACTAAAAAAGGAAATTTTTAAGACCATCATAAAAGACATATATGGTCAGATCAAAAAAGAATGACCTACAGCTGATCATCGCTTTTGTCTTCCTCTTTTTATCTAGATCCTACTGTGCGCCTAGCAGTATTCAAAAACAGCGAACATAAAGTTTCTCTTACAAAGTCACCAAAGAAGGCACATTCCAGAAGACATGGTCACTCTGAAGGTACTGTTTAATAATGGATACAAAAAAACATAAGATAGAACATTGCAGTCAAAATGCACTTTAAATCCTCAATAACCCATAAAATACACAGATAAATATGTATAAAATATATAGTTTGATATAGTGGCACAAGTCTATAATCTGAGCACTCAGAAACCTGAGGCAAGAAGATTACCATGGGTCCAAATCCTGCCTGGACTATGTAGTGAGTTCAAGGCCAGTCTAAACTACATGGTGAAAGTCTCTCTCAAAACAAAACAAAACAAAGCAACAAAAGGACTCACAGAGTGGGAAAAAAAATTTTAGCCAATTGTCCTTCAGACAAAGAACTTCTATCTTAAACCTGTAAGGAACTGAAAAAAAACTCAGACTACCCCAAATTCAAAGACTCAATCCAAAAATGGGCATTTGAGATGAATACACACTTCTCAGATAAAGAAATACAAATGGAAAATAAATATATGAAAAAATGAACATCATTGGTCATTTAAGAGATGCAAATTAAAACAACACTAAGATTCCATCTCACCCCAGAAAGAATGGCTATCATCAAGCAATCAACCAATTATAAATGCTGGAGGGGCTGTAGGCATAAAGGAACCCTTCTCTACTGTTGGTGGGAATGCAGACCAGCGCAACCACTGTGGAAATCAGTATGGAGATTCCTCAAAAAGGTAGGACTAGAGGTCCATTCATCTCAGCTATTCTCCTTCTGGGTATCTTCCTGGAAAAATTAAAAACATCATACCACAGCAATATTTGTGTACCCATGTTTATAACAACACAATTTGCATAAGCATTAATAGCTTGGAGGCTGGGAATTTAGCTCAGCAGCACAGCACCTGCCTGGCAAGAGGGAGGTTGTGAGTTCAATTCCTGGTACCGGAAAAAAACAAACAAACAAAAAAAGCATTAATAGCTAAATCTTGGACACAACCTAAATGCCTGTCAACCAAGGAATGGAGAAAAAAAGATGTGGCATTTTTATACAATGGAATACTATTCAGCCATAAAGAAGATAATCTTGAGACTTTTATAGGTAAATGAATGCAACTTGAGACCATACTCATAAGTGTAATAAATCAGACTCACATGTGTAAACATGATATTATCTCCCTGGTGTGAGAAATTGAAAGAGTAAATAAGGTCTAAAATGTGTAATAGATGTTGTGAAATGGGAAGGAAGAAATTGTTTAACAGGAAAAAGGAACTAGAATGAGAGAAAGGGAAAAGGAAAGGAGAAAATCAAGTTAGCTATACTATCACTGTTTCTTAGTTCATGTGAAAGAAGGGTTCGTGCTAACATCGACTGGAGCATTTTTTATGACCCTGTCTTGTACTCTAAGCAGCTACTTTGAAGGTGACAATATGCAATGTATTAACTTATGTTTTTCTCCTATTATTTTTCTATGAAATTCTTACCTTTTTTCAAGAAAATAAAAAATGAATAAAAGTGAAAATATAGCTCTTAGAGCTAAGATCTGACACTTAAATAAGTACTCAAAAGAAGAGAGGAACAGGTAAGAAAGATTGTTACAGCCAGACTTGGTGGCCCACGCCTGTAATCCCAGCACTTGGAGGCTGAGGCAAGAGGATCGTTGCAAGTTTGAGACCAGCCTGGGCTACAAAGTGAGCTCAAGGCTGGCCTGACCTGCATAGTGAGACCCTGTCTCAAAAAGACAAGAAAAAAAATGTGAATATTGCATTAAACACTACAAGTAATACTCTGGAATTTTAAATATTTCACAGTATTTAAAGGTTGCCCAACTCATTTTCATAGTGAAGGACTGGTGTATCTAAGTGGCAGATTATATTTCAAATTTTAACATTCCAAAGTTATGTCCTTGCTTTATTAAATAGAAACATATAAATGCTATATTGTAGCAAACATGACTTAAAATAATTTGCTGTTTGTTTTCTATTCATTATTAAAATTTTTAGTTTTACCTATACTTTTGAACAGTAATTTCTAATAGAAATAATAGACTCAAATATATTTGAATGGAAATGAACTGTTTAGGAATTTCAATATTTTATCCTTTATAAATTTTAAATAAATCCTGAAATTTAGGATTCTTTATAGTATGATGACAGATACATTTTATTTGCATTTCTATTTATTATTAGTTAATTTTAAACTAGAGAAAAGTTTGGTAACCACTAAATTTATGCTTTTTTAAAGATACCTACTAAAATGTATAGGAGTAAACTACATAGAATCCAGAGTTTTCTTTAATGACCATAGCAATAGACACACACACATACATATACATAGATAAAGCCTGTATGCTACATTATTGAAATTGTCGGATCAATAGGCAGTGGCATGTGGAGGTTTGTTTTTCCAGTCTAATTTTTTAATATTTTAAATTTCCATAATATTTTAAAAATTGGTGCTTCTTGAACATGTCCAAACTCAATATTATTGAAAAATATGTATAAATTAATACTTTATAGAATTAAAACATATTTCTAGTATAAAGTGAAGGTTAGGTTTTAATCAAAAATCCTTTCCTAGTTACAATCTTAACTTCGCCCTTTTAGTTTTTGAAAAGAAGAGTAGAAATTCCCCTAAAATCAGTAACAATTCCACAGGTATTGCCTGTTAAATAAGAACTTGTTCCTTGTTAAATAAGCACACTAAAGAAAGAAAAGCCTAGGAAGAAATAATTTAGACAGTTCTCAGAATCAGACAAAACCTTATCCTAATATGTTTAGCGTCTTTTCTCTTCTTGTATGAACTATACAGTTTTGTTGCCTTCTAGACTAATATAATATGCATGCTCACATTTACTAAACTGTGCACCAATATCAAATATGCTAAGAATAGTTCAACAACATGATAAAGTGGCTTATAGAACATCGAACATTTTCACATGCGCTTTTTGTTTTTGTTTTCTGTCTTCTATGTGAAATGTGTTTAATTTATTCTCTTGCTTTGTTGTCTTGTTTTGGTTTGGTTGTTTTGCAACCCAAATGTGATGGGCACTTCATTTATTTCACTGGCTGAACTCCATGCAGCTACAAGATTTTCTAGCTACTGAATTGTCGTCACTATAAGGCTTTGTTTTAAAAAAAAAAAGAAAAAACAAAAAAGAAATAGACTTGGCAAAACTGTTCTACATGGAAGTTTCCCCCAAATTAATATGTTACTTTTGTTCTCATTTTTTTTGAAGTGGAACAGAGTGAGGTGAGGGAATTTGTACACTGGTGGCAAGGTTAACCCGGGCTCTGAGTCACACATCTCCTAGGCACCTGCTCCTTCTCTGTTATACAAGAGGCTAGTTTCCAAGTCAGCTGCTTAGAGAACCCTGGCTCCTCAATAGGGGGTGCTTTGGGAAACCAGCTCTTTTGAAATACAAGTATGTATTCCAGAACATAGTTTTTAGAATACAGTTCAATAAATTCGAGTCACAAAACTGTCATCCAAGTCTACTTACAATTTTGGAATATTATAAGAATTTACGTTTTCTTAAGAATATTAGGAAGGACATCTGACCCCCCAAGTGGGGGTAAATCCAAATTAATTTTTCTATGGGTTCTGATTAAATGAGTCCATGTGGGATAGTATCTCATCATCGTGGCATGCCAGTATTTACCTAACTTCCTTAGTTTTGTTGAAATGAGATCACAGTATTGAGTACTGCTTTTCCAGTCACTGTATTGTAATATTGTACGAATGAGAAAAGAACTCAATTAAAATGCCTTCTTTCTCCACTGTGCAGTAGTGACCACATAATACTCTCATGCTTCTTGCCAGTTATTCTAAAATTTTTTCATTTTTACTGTGGGATTTTCCTGGATATCTATAACAAGACAAAGAGAATGCTACTTATCTCCGTTGATTGAGGATGAAAGTATGCTTATATTTAAGAAATATTTGATATTACATAAAATATGAAGCAGGTAAAATCTGGCATTTTGGTAATCCATGGGTTACAAGATATCATTCTATTTTTTCCATGTTTGGAAGTATGGAAAATTTTTAACCTTCAACCTAGTCAGCATTGAGGAATGTTTGACTATCCTCGTCCTCATGGTACCCTAATGCATGCTCCGTGTGTCAGATACAAGTTCTTCTTGTAACACTGAGGATTTCAACAGTTAACAGATTTAACTTTGGCTCACTTTGTTTATATATATATATATATATCTTGTAACACTGAGGATTTCAACAGTTAACAGATTTAACTTTGGCTCACTTTGTTTATATATATATATAGTAAGGTATGTTTCTTATCTTACCATTGTTATCAACTCTGATTGCTTCTTGAGTTTAAATAACTGAACTTTCCTTAACATTTCAAACATCTCCCTGTTTCTTACCTTGAATATCCCCTACCAAGTTGCTTCTCTGTTCACGTGTTCACTTTGGAACCCTGACATCACTCTGCTCTTCTGTGTGTGTCACTAGAAGAGTGACACATGTAAATGTAGACTTTATTACTTTCAAAGTTTATTACTTTCTTCAGCTCTTACTGAATTATATTCTTAATGTCTAGAAATAGAAATAGCAAACCAAAGCATATATGTGTAAATATTTATAATGTATCATTAAACTGTTTTACAAAAGAGGTTACTTTGCTTACCCACAATTCTTTGTAGTGAAATGTTTGAAATCTACTGTTACTTTAAAATATGTAATACATTATTATCAACTGTAGTGACTACTGTGCAGTTCATCTTAAAACCTATTCCTCCTGTTTCTCTTAAACTTTGTGCCCTTTGGTCAACAGTTCCCCTTTTTGTCTTTCCCTGACCTCACCCAGCTCCTCGGCCTCTGGTAACCATCATTCTATTCTCATCCTCTGTGAATTCAACTTTATTAGGTTCCACATCTATGTGAGATGATTTGGTACTTATGTTTCCATGGCTTGATTTTTATTTTTATTTTTATTTTTTTATTTTTTTTGGTTTTTTGGTTTTTCTCCGGTACCAGGAACTGAACTCACGACCTTGCGCTTGCCAGGCAGGCGCTTTTGCCGCTGAGCTAAATCCCC